TCCTCCGAAAATAAGCACCCTTTTTTGCTATAAGGTTGCTTATTTTCGGGTATAATCTCAACTAATAATTTGAATGATTTGATATTTAATTACTTATTTCTATTATGTAAGAGGGTATATATGAATTGTAGGAGGTGCTTACTTTCGGGGGTGCTTATTTTCGGAGGAATACGGTATGACTTGCGGGAATTTTCAGAGATACGATAATAATCTGGTGGGTTTGCTATGACGATCTAAAACCAGGAATGCTATACGAGAATTCTAAAATTTGAAATAGAACTTATTTACATTATAATAATAATAATGTCGCACAAAGTAAATTTTTCGTTTTGCATTAGGGAAGTGTCTTTTATTACGTGATTTTTTTGGGAGGGGGCCTAACAAAATATCATGTATATAGAAACCATCCATCGGGCTTTCATTTTAATTTAAATACTGATTATCATCTATCATGTAAGGGGAAGTAAATTTAATATTTGCAAAAAAACATGTAATAAATGACACTTCCCTTACCCGCCGACCCATTTTTTCAATTTTTTTTTAGGTTCCAATTATGCCAATTGTTTTATTTTTGCCATTTAATTTTTCCCCACAAATTATTCTGGTATCGCCCAGTAAAGACCTTATTTTTCTGGAATTGTCCGATAGAACTGATAAAAAAAATTCGATTGTCAACTCAATTTTCTGATTCCATGTTATGTAAAGCGAAAAATTAACTATGTGTGACCTTAAATGTCTAGTATTTACTGTAGAATAAAAATAAATAAATAAATAAATAAATAAAAATAAAAACAAAAAAAATAAAATAAAAAATCCGACCGCCGACTGTTGATTCTGAAATCCATGTAATGCAAAACGAAAAATTAACTTTGCGTGGCCTGATATGTAAATATTTTGTTTATTTAAAGCAGTGTAATAAGGTGATTCAAAATTAAATTATTTCGAAAATAAGTGCGAGTTTAAAATATCACATTTCCGTTTTGAATTTCGAAATCAGAAATTAAATAGTTGTATTTTACTGATAATTTATTATCATCATATAAAAAATTCTTATAAATCATTTATTCCAAAACAAATATAATTCAAATTTGTAACCTGAACATTAATTCTGAATCACCCTAATGTAAACAATCCACTAAAAGAATTGAAACAAAAAATTGCGAGACTATTGATTAATGTTGTAAAACAAATGACAAAATAATTCAGAATGATTTATATAAATGGATTATCTTCATATTTCAAAATGTTTTATGTTTATTCTTTATATCTACAGTTAAAGATTTGTTAACAAAAATTTTAGGATCTAGAAGATTGCATATATGATCGTTAAATCTTATGCAGAAACATATTAACAAAACATTAGACATTTATTCAGTTAGAACAATTAGTAAGAAATTTCTCGTATTTTTTTCAATAAAAAATATAAGAAATAGTTATGAATTTTATTTTAATATAAGTGCTTTTCCAGGATATTTGAAACCTATGTATGTCACGGTCAAACTTTAAAACAATAATACTGTTTGTGGTACATCACTAGATTGTAAAAATTTATAAAGGATTAAGGTTCAATTAATTATGAAAATAATTTCAAATACAGAAACTCCATTTACAATAAATAAAAAGGTATATTTTTGCTAGTGCTGCTTCCCTTCTGAACAAATTTCATTAAAAGAATGATCCAAAAATATTCCTCCTCAGAACCGATTTTACAACTAATGAGATTTAATAAAGTGTTTTGACTAATTATTTCCTTCTTTTGAATCAAGACAATTTCATGAGTATTAGACGGTAGTTTGTAAGAGCTTCTGATATTGTTTTTAATCAAAGAGATCAAGTAACGTATTTTTCAAAGAATACTAATTCATTCATTTCTTTGTAATTAAAATATTTAATGAATGCAACTTTTGAATTTACTTGAAAGATGCGCCGCTCAGATAGCTTAGATACGTAATATAGAAAATATAGCAAAAATTATTTTATGAAAACCTTTTCTTTTCTATTAAAAAAAAGGTGGTGTATTATGAGTAAGAAATAGCTACGTATTCACAATATAGTTAGGAATGATTTGAGAGTTACACTCTAGTTAAAAGGTTTGCTATAAAATCACCATAATGCCATTTAATAATAGTTTAAAATTTACGATGAACATATCGGCGGGTTTGCGGAATGGATCTAAATTAAGGTCCCTGGATTTAACAATTGCAGAATGCATAATAGCTGAAATTTTGGGGTCAGTTTTACAATCGCATTGTTAAAATATATGGACCTTAATATAAGTCAATTCCGCAAATTCGCCGATATGATAAGATATTTTGTTCATTTATTTAATTCAAAAAAATATGATACAGCCAAACCTCTTTATATTCTTACCCACAGGATACAAAAAAGCGTGATTTTAGAGAAGTGTCTAATTATAAAGGTAAATTTATTATATTTAATAATAGATAGTTTTTATAAAGAAAATGTGCTTATTTAGGAGGTGACTATAGAGAGGTTTGACTGTATTTGAATATTTCAATCAATTACACTAAATAAGTAGTATAATACTTATAAACAGTTGGTCAGACTAACTTTAAATTTCAAATCCTTAACATACTAAGTTTTGCCCAAATTAATGAATTTGTATAAAAATTTTCATTTTAGATGATAATAATATTATCAATCCATTTTGATAAAATTTTTATATAAGACTTTCAGCAAATTTACCTAAATCAATGTATTGATCCACTACCAAAATTACATGATGACCCTCCCTCATATTATACCCTTTGTTAAATGTTACTTTAATAGATGCAAAATGGTTTGCCAATCGTTTTTCAATTACGCCAACAATTTTTTCATTGGAACAAAACCCATATCCTTGTTTTTAAATTCACGATGCCAGCCTCCATTTTCATAATTATCAAATGGAGAACAACTTGAATTAGAACCATCTCTATGATATGCAACAGAGACATCCGCAGCAAATCTGCTCATTGCTTCATTAATAAAAAGTATCATATAATCACAAAATTTATCAAAAATTGAAGCACCCTCATGTAAGTTACGGGTAATACGGTTATTAGAAATGGGAATCTTAAAATATTCTATTTCTAAATCTATAGCCCGTTTCGAAACAGGAAATTCTTTTGATTTGATATCATCATTCCAGAGAATTTCACCAGTGCGATAATATTCTAAACTGCAATAGAAAGCGTGACTATTTCGATCAATAAAATATTCATTACCACCAGGATAAATTGGTTTGATTGATTCAGGATCTTTAGGATTAAATAATTTTCCTAAAGTTGTTTCTGGATGATCGATTAAAGTTTTACGAGTGGTTTCGAACTTATAAAAATTAAAATTATTAATTTATCATTAAATTTTTAAAATAATTTTAAAAAGTTTTAGGACTTACTTTAACACCACCAACATTTAGAATGATAACTTCATCTTCTATTTCGTTTTTTATACCCGTATTTTTAACGTGCTCTAATAATTCTGTCATTTTATATTTAAAAGCTCTTATATAAAATTTTTCATCTTGTTTGATTAATAAGATTATTTGTTTACCAAAAAGATCATATAAATTATACAAAAATTTTTCATATTGTTAGCAAAAAAATCATGCAATTGATACAAAAATTTTTGTGTTAATACAAATTGAAAACAACTTAATATCAAGAGAAAAAAAACGCGAATAAATGGAAATGGTTTACCATTTAAGTGAAGCCATTTCTTTATTTCTTTGTTCAACTCATTTTAAAATATCACGCCACCTATTTTTATTAATAACTCAGTCTCATGCAAGTACGTAGTAGTACATTCGTACACAAATTATATAATTGAACCTAGGTGCCGCTCGTTTTTGATTGGCTAAGAGTGACAATCAAAATATTAGACCAAAATTACTCATAATTTTAACAATGAAATCGCAGCCGCCCATTAAGTGACGAGCTTATTTTTTAAAAATCTCTATTTTTGTAATGAAAAATTAAAAAATTAACCCCGGCCGAAAATTAGTAAACAATTAGCCAAAATTTTGAAGATCCTCGACCGTTAGCCAATTAAATTCGATGATCTGCCGATTTTAAAAAGTATAGCGATAGGAAACATATTTCTTAATTAAAATCTAAAAAGAAGTTGCATGGCTTGTGCGTTTACAATTAAGACTGTGGGTGCCCAATGTGATAAAGATCGTACGCAAGTACTGTGATTAATCGCGACAGAAATTTTGCTGAAGATTCATATTGCGAAATGTGGATATTAAATTTTGCCAATCAGCACAACTCTATGATAAAAAGATGGGCGGAACCATCTTTTATATTTATCTCGATGATGAATTTAAACTAATTAAAAATTGAGCTCTACCCTATTATAGCTGTTTTCGAAATGGTTAAGAATATTAATATTCTCAAAAAAAAAAATTTTTTTTTTGTGAATACCCGAATACCTTAATACCCGATTAACTTAAACTTGATCGAAGATCGATTTTCAGCTATTTTTATTTAATGATAAATTAGGCGAATAATTGTTTAGTACAATAATTACTTTTTCATAGCTAGAAATCGATCTTTGATCAATGTGATCAACGTTATAAACTAATAGGGTATTCAGGTATTCGAGTTCGATTTGCGCATTTCATCAAATTTTGATAAATATCTCGTATTATCTTAAACCAATTCATTTAAATGCCTCATAACTGGTTAGTTATATGTGTGAAAAGTTTTTTTTATATAGTGGGTGATTCAGAGTTAATCATTGAAGCTGAAAATTTTAGAATTTAGGGTTAGTTTTTATTATAAAAAATAATATGTGGGAATTTTAGGAATGCACAATTTATATCTTCAACGTGAGTAAGCTATAAAGCTTATGCATTCATAATTATATTTTGTTATTTTTAGAAATATTATATCTTTAATATTTAATATTAAACACATATTTTCAATTAACAAAATGAACTACCTAGTTATATAAAATAAGCTTTATCAAACTTTATTAATATATGTCAAAAAAAACCAGTTATGACTATAATTCTTGTGACTTAAATGATAAAACATGGAGAAAAAATTGATCAGATTCAATTAAATTTTTCAAGAAATAATTTCTTTGAAGGTTGTAAATTGAATGTTTTCAAATTATTTAGAATCAGTTATATAAAAAAAAAAAGAAAAATGTATACAATTTATGCAAATAATTAAGCATAAAAAAATTATATACAGAGTCTTTTTAAGTTTCATGCAGAACTTATGCTTATGTATTGAAGCATTGGATATTTAGAAAAATTTCTTCAAGGTCAGGACAGGTCATTGACTGGTGTACCGCTTATATGTTATCTATATGTTTTAGTATATAAAAATTCCAAAATTTAGTACTATAGCACTATATACGATGTATTAGTAACTATAAAAAGTTATAAAATTAAACAACTACTTATTGAATGATTGTAGAAATAGAACATTCTTTAATAATGTATAAATATATATATGTTTTATTAATTATTTAGAAATCGGATTTTTTTTGAACAGCTAGACTTCATTTTAATAAAGTTAAATGTCTAGTGCTTTTAGTAAGCGCTTTTTCTAATGCTTGTTTTGTTTCAAGGCCAATTTGATTATTTTGAAGATTTAAAAAAGTTAATACTGAGTTTTTGCGAATGGCTTCTGCAAATGTTTTTGTACCTTCAGGACCAAAATGATTGCCAGCAAGATTTAAGGAAGAAAGAGATGTATTTTTACAGAGTGCCTTCGCTAATGCAGTTCCCCCTTCTGATCCAATTTCATTAAAAGAAAGATCTAAGAATTTTAATGTAGTATTCTTATAAAGTGCTTCTGCTAAGGCTATCCCTCCCTCAGAACCAATTTTACAATTAACGAGATCCAATTTGGTTAGAGTAGAGTTCTTACAAAGGGTTTTGGCTAATGCTTTTGCACTTTCTGAATTAAGGTTATTCCGTGAAAGATTTAGAGATATTAGAGTGGTATTTTTGTAAAGGGTTTCTAATATTGCTTTTAATCCTGCTGAACTCAGATGACTTTGTGAAAGATTTAAAGAGATCAATATCGTATTCTTGCAAAGAATCTTTACTAATTCATTTATTTCTTTGGAATTAAGATATTTATTTGAAAGAGACCAGTTCGAAGCAGTATGCTTATCTTTAGTATTATGCTGTTTATTCTTGAGAATTTCTTCATAAAGTTCCAATGCATTTGAATAACTTCCTTCATTAATGTATTTATATACTTTTTTTCTTTTATTTTCAAGTGTATCATCATCATGTTCAATTGAGTCATTTATTGTTAAAGTATTTTGAGTATCAAGTTGTGATGAAGTATTTTGATCATTAATGTTAATTTTATCAATTCGTGTTGAAATATTTTGACTAATTTCATCATCATAATTATTAATTTTATCAGGCAAATAAAGTGAATTTTCTTGTTTTGAAGAATTTTGATCATTGATTGTATCGGATAAATGAAGTGATGACGATGTAATTTCAAATGAATCCGAATGTATTTTTGTACGATCTTGCTGATTTGAGGAATCTGTATTATTTTGCTGAATTGATGGCAAAGTTTCAGTAGATACTATATTTTCTGCCAAATCGTTGACTTTTATTTTACTTAAAATCTCAAAAACCATTTTTGTATCTGGACGAACATTAGGATCTTTATCCCAGCATTTTCGATAAAGTTCAACATATTGTCGTGGTGTCCCTTCTATAGGTTCTTCTCTATTTCCAACATATATGTGAATAATGAGTGCATCTCTTGAACTAAAGGATTGAAATGGTGGACTACCACTTGAAATTTCCCAGAGAATTATACCAAAACTGTAAATATCAGATTTCTTGGTGCGTTTATATTTAGAGCCACCTAGACTTGAAGGGTCTACATATGCAGGCATCCCATGTACAATTGAATTTGATGTCATTGTTGCTTCATCTATCTGTTTTGCCAGTCCAAAATCTGCAATCTTAATGTTTCCTTGATGAATTAAAATATTTTTTGAATGCTGTAAAAAATAGATATATTACAAGTTAAAACAATTGTCAGTGTCTTGATTCTGAAACATGTCATGCAATATATAGTATATGCTTACAAGATCCCGGTGAATAATATCATGACTATGTAAAAACATAAGACCTTGTATTATTTCTCTCGCTATATTTAATTTACTTGTCCATTTCAATTTCATAAAATTATTTTTTAAATATTCTCGAAGGTTTCCATCGCTAGCGTATTGTAAAACCATGTTATAATTTCCATCAAGATCTATTTTTTACAAAGAAATTAATATAGTTGCATAGTTATTTAAATTACATTTTTAATATAGTGTTAATAGAGTGATTCAGAATTAATAAGGGATTCAAAGTTAAAATCAGAGAGATCTTATTTATTTTTTCAACATAGTAAAAATGTGTCACTTATTTGTTAATTTTGAAACCCCAATGATCATATTTCTTTTTAATAAATGGTTTATGTGATAATTATATTATTAAAAAATACTTCTATTTGATTTTCTTATTTCATAATTTTAAAACAGAAATAGAATCTTTTAAACTTCACTTATTTTTTGAAATAAATTAATTCTAAACCATCGTAATAAAGCAATATTAAAAGATTAATACCTTTTGTAATTCCGTAGAAAGCAATAATATTTGGATGACTACTAACTCTTCGTAACAATTTGAGCTTTTATTACATAAATATGTAATTTATTAATCAATAAATTCTAAAGGTATTCATTAATGTAAAAAAATAATAATACCTCATTAATAAATTCTTTAATAATCGCTTCGCTTAAATTTACATCGACTTTAAGGCATTTAAGGGCAACTGTTAATCCAGAATCTTTCCACTCGTATTTATAAACTGTTCCAAAGCCTCCTTCTCCAATTTTTACCTTTTCTGTAAATTTATTATATTCATATTTATTAATAAACCCTTCAGAAATAATTCTTTCAAGCCAATCTTCTGGATTGTTTGCCATAACTTTAAACTACTCAATACAACACAAAACTGATTGATTATATTATATAATGGTTGAAGAAGTATTAACGCTAAAAAATAATAGTTTTATGTATTGTTAAACTAAATATAATATAAAAAGTTTTTGGCGTAACTTCATATTCATTTTTGTAAGACATAAATATTTACATTGTACGCACGTACTGTATGTACGTACGTACGTACGTATAAGAAACAATAAACACAGAGATAGTGTTACATATCCTATTTCTTGTGCCCATATGCATAAAAACTTATTGCATGTAAAAAAAAACTAATTTGGTCAAACGCAATTAAATTACACATTATTAATATATACTACAGATATGAATTTTAAAATATGTGTATGGCATCCATACTAGCATACTTTATAAATGGCCAATCATTACTCATTTCACAGTCCAAATGACTTAAAGAGGTCATATAACCCTATTTAGTTGATAATCTATGCCCTTTAGCCAATCAAACTTGACTATTGACCAAAAATCAATATTTAATC